GAAAGGATGCCTTTAATACTACTTATCTCTATTACTCCTGCTCCTTCTAATTACTATTTAACTGTAATTAATAATTACTAGTTAAATGTAGAATATTTGTACTTTACGTCCGTATTATTCGACTGTGTATTTTCTATAATTCAATAAAGTTGTTTCGACCGTACATCGTATGAGCTTTTTACAAATTTCTGACTTCTAATTCTTAACATGTCTTGGTTATTTAATTTTCCATCTTATGGCATTATTTAATTTAATTATTTATACTATTGAAACATTGTTTTCGTCAACGATACTCGTCTTATTTTCATCATCATAAAATATCTATTAAGAATCAATTTCCTCATATTGACATTTTTCTAATTTATATTGCTTTTCAAATGCCCATCAATTTCGAAAATGACAAGATCGAATTAAAAATTGTAACTAGAACAAATATTCAAAAATAAATGATTTGTAGATATTTTTACCGAAAAAATTGCTTGTTCTCTTCGTGATTATGTGTGTAATAAAAATTGCTTAGAATTATGCCCCGGCAATCGGTGAGGTAGCCATGATTCCGAATAATTACTACACCTTTTATCCACTTCTTTTTTTTCTGGATATAGACCATTCTTTTGCATTAAGAACTATCATCTTGAAAAATAATGCTCAACGAGAATTGTCTAAACTTCAACCATTGAATCAACTGTGATTAATAACAAATATTAATTTAACCTTATGAAATGCGTGACTAATTTATCTAGATACATTCAAAATTTTTTTTAACATTTATCGAACGAAGAACTGTTCGAAACTGTTTTATTCTTAATTACATTGCGATTGCTTTCCTGTAAATAACCATTAGTAAGTAATCACTCGTTAAAGTATGACGTGTGTCTCAAACGCGCGCAAATAGTATCCTCAAGCGCTTTTGCGAACTAATTTCTCAATTGTCCTTTTGTTACATCACGCAGAATCCAGGTCCATTCGGTGGTTGTGCCGGGATACCACGTCTGTTCATGCGACAAGCATGTTCCTCGAGACGTTGGGCAGCCTTGTTCTCATCTTGTTTCAAAATAGTCCAGAGACGTTCTGCCGCTGCACTAGCACGAGGCCATATTCTTGGGTGTACATTATTCCTAGAAAAAAAGAATGTCAATTGCTTCGTTATCCATTCAAGGAGAAATTTATTACTAATACTGAAAGTCAACGATGTCGTTCATGTTCTAACAGTCTTTAAAAACCATTTTAAAATGATGATTTATCATGACATAACATTTTAAAATATCAATTTAAATGTAATAAGAATTCCTCCAAAAAGACACGTTTGTTTAATGAATGAACATTTGTTTCGTTGAAATACAGGAATGCTTAAAAGTTGCCTTATCTTACGTACGCGAAATATAATTACATTTCCAATGAAGTTCTCAAGTAGAATCCCCTGTGATAGAATAATGATTACCTGTCGACAAATTCTCCCCACATGCAAGCTTCACCACCCAACATCAAATGAGTTACATTTGCGGCTCCGATGAATGACATTGGATCGCATTTGTAGTACTTCTTCCAGTCACCACTGCCAGTACCAAGGTGATCCAAATACCAACAGGCTGATAACAGCACTGGATGGCCAGCCTTAGTAGCATTTTCCAATTTTTTCGCCCACTGGCCTGTCCACACGTGAACGACCGTGTTATTCGGCATAACGACTCCATTCTCGAATACCTGAAAATTCAACGATTCAGATCTCAATTCGTAGATTTTATTTTTGATACAACATGTCATTTATCCTTCAACCCCTTAACTGAAGAATATCTTTCTGCTTGCAAAATCAGTCACAGATATATAATATATCCGTGAAGTTTCATACATTCAACTTTTAACTGGTATCATTAAGCCTGATTGTAATCATAATTAAAAATTAAATTAAATAATGAACTTTTGACTCTATTATGAAGCTATTATTATTAGGCCCGATTGTGACCATAACAATCGAAAGTTGAATCACTTGATTTAAAATTTAACTTAAATTTAATTCGAATTTAATTTAATGTAATTTCACACGTAAGATAAAGATTTTCCCAAAATGTAAAGCACGAAATAAAATTAAACTTCGTAAATTTTCGTAATCTAACGTGAAATGCTGTAGTTATGTATAATCTAACAATACTAATTCATCTAAGGATGAAAACAAAAGAAGAAAAGATATTTTTTCTCAAAAGCAGAGCCATTTCTACGTAAATAAACCGAGCTACAAAGTGTCGTGTAACGAAACAACGCGCAAACAGATGACGATGAACTGTTCGCGAACATCAATGGGGACACAGCTTATGATAAATCTAAAAACAACATTTGGAGATACTTTACCTCCTGCCACACGATCGTGCTCGCTTGAAGAGAATTCGTGATCTGAAGAAGCTTGCCGATGTACTCGCTCTCGAGAACTTCGTACCTGGACATGTTCCGCGACTTCACATACGCACTGATCTCTGGATTGCTCCTCCAACAATCGAATGGCACTTCGTCGCCGCCTAGATGGACGTATTGATCCGGAAATACCTGTACGATCTCGGCGAATAGGTGGCGAAGGAACTCGTACAGATTCGGATTCGTAGGATTCATCGGGCCCAGTTTACCATTTGGCTTTCCTTTATCTAGTAACATTTCGACGTGACAGTTCAGAAATTTCTTTGACTTTGATTTTGTAAATCGGCTGACTTGGCGGATGAAAAGAAAGTTTGAAAGGTCACTGGGACATTATTTTATAAGTCTGTAAAATGAGATTTTGCTTGAATAAGGTAATACATTGAAAGATTCCATCGATCGAAAGTATAGAAATTATTGAGTTTTCAATAGAATGCAAGAATTTAAATAGAAAATAAAATAAAAATTTGATCGAAAATCAGTCGGAGACACACGTTGTTGATTATAGTTATAGTAATAATTAATAAAAATAATTAATAATTATCAATGAATAACAACATTAATGACATTGACAAAAGACTAAGAAAGTAATTTCATTTTAACCTGTTGTTGTGCAGATTTTAAGAAACATGTAGTCTTTTATACATGTCAAAACATGCATCAACACTTGAGTTTCATGAAACCGTTGCTTCAATTTCAGTTTACCTTCGCCCATTATCAGTTTGTCATCTCACATGTTTCAGAATGTCGAATTATTTTCCAACACTACTATCAATAATAAGAAATGTGCTAACGATAACAAATAAAAAATTAAAGATATCCAAAACGAAGACATTAGATATTAAAAAATACTAAAATTAAGATAAAGATAGATATATATAAATTAAGATATATATATATATATATATAT